CCCTGCAAGCTCTAGCCATCTTGGCCTCCCTGGACTCTGTCTCTTCAAATAAAGGAGACTACCAATCTCTGCCTGAGTTCCCCCTCCTTTGCCATAACCTGGAAAGTTTTTCCAGACAGGAAGCCAAGGTAATAATGGTGCTCACCTCTCTCAAGGATCACTATCCTACAGTGCCTGACATCCAGTGTCCGAGAATTGTCATTTTATACATTTATCCATCTGATCTTTACTTGTTTCAGCAGAAGGTTACTCCAATCCTTGTTATTTCAGCTTGGCAGTAGAGAAGATATAAAATCAACAGAACCACCAGTTGTTGCATGGACCGTATTCAAACTCCGTATCTTGAGATTTGCATGGTATGTTACTTGCAAAGAAAAAGGAAGTCTAAGAAACTTTATTCATCATTCAACATGTATTTAATTACTATGGCAGAGATGGCTGGATGACCACTAAAATATGCCTCCTTTCCATATTATGGAATTGTTCTTGGGAAATGGCTGCTGTCACTTCCACAGCTCAGTTATGTCAGGGCAGTGGGTAAATTGCAGGAAAGTAAAAGAAAATGCCTAGAGAAAGCATGGGAGACATTTGGTTTATTTGGGAAGACTTACAAAATATCAGTGACTACTCTAAGAAGAATTCAGTGGTAACAGACTGAACAGATAGCACCTCTGTCCCTCAAGGTGACTTGCCAAGCATAGCCTCCTCTCCCTCACAGCATTCTGTCCAGTGATAGCCAGATGGTCAAGTAACATGAATGCTATCCAACGGGATCCTCAGTACTGTACCCATCCCTACTCAGAGAAGAGTTTTGTATCTTAAACTGCAGAAGCAGCGACAGCATCAGTGTTAGCTTGTTTGTATGACCAGCATCCCAAGAAGCAACTGTCCCGGCAGTAGCTTTCTAGATAACAATAGCTTGCCCTAGCTCCCAGAGTGCATAAGAGAAAGCCAGTGTCCTTCAAGATAATATGTAGCTAGATTTTCCAGCTCAGGCTTACTCTCGCTGTTACAATGGAATGGGCATAGAAGTAAAGTGTGTCATTTCTAGGACAAGCTTTTGAAAAGTAGATACACCTTCTTCATATTCTTTTCCTTCTGATGACAGAATGCTGAGGATAATAAGTATTCTTGGAATGATTATGCCAACATATGAAGAGTCTCAGTCCCTAAAATCAGCTTTTCCCTGGAAAGCTGCCCACCAGAAACACCTATATTGAATAGCAAGATGATAACACACTAAATTTCTGTGGATGTTAAGCTGTTGTAGTTTCAGAGTTACTTTATTAAAGCAGCAAGTATTGCCCAAATAATACTGAGAACTTCTGGATGCCAGGTACTGTGTCAAGTTTTGGATGTACAATGAGAAAAAAAGAGCCATGGTTCCTGCCTTCTTCCACCTTAAAGATTAGTCAAGAAAGATTAAAAAAAATAAACAAGAAACAGAAACATAAAGTCATTCCTTGCAAAGCATCTCCCTGATTAATGTCTTCCCAGTAGAACATCTGGGTTTTAATACCAAACTTCAGAGAAAATACTTTTCTCTTGATATGGCTGTTTTTGACTAATATTTGTACAGAAAATGTTTATATTAAAAAAAAACACCAAAACCTCAAGATGAAAATTTTAAGCCAAATGAGACATTTGAAAAGTCTTGAATTGCATTCAAATATAATTGGTAGAATACATAATCACATGTAGGTATTTGTTATGGTTTGGATATTAAATATCTCCCAAATATTTGAGAGTTTGAGTTGGTTCCCATCAGGAAGCTATTGGGAGGTTGCAGATTTTTAGGAGGCGGGACCTAGTTGAAGGAAGTTAGGTTGCTGGGGTGGGCATATCCTAGAAGGGTATATTGAGATGTTACCCTTCCTCTCTTTTTGCTTCCTGACTACCATGAGGTAAGCAGGTAATGCCTCATGTTCCCTGTACTGATGTTTTGCCTTGCCATAGGTCCAAAGCATTAGGCCATGCAAAAATGGATGGAAACTTACAAAAATATGAGCCAAAATAAATCTTCCCTCCTTATGATTTGATTTTCTTGCGTATTTTGTCACAACAATGGAAATCTAACATAACATTTTTCCAACTTTTTAAAAAAACATTTAAAAACTGAAAAAGCAGAAATGTTTAAAGAATATATACTCTTGACCTAGAGACAATGATAGTTTTATTCAAATGATCTCTTCCCAATTTTACAATCATGCTTTTGCTTAAGCAGTTTTTAGACCTCTCTCCAATCTTCCTCCCCCAACGACTCCCGCTTAAGCAGAATAAGTTCATTCTTATCTTGAACTTATAAATAGCCTTTTATTATAGACTATACTGTAGTTGTTCTCGCTGCAAAATTCAATGTTATGTATTAGTAATAATCAAAGGCAATATTTTCCAATTTATTTTGTATCATTTAAATGAATCCTCCCAATAATTCAACTCTATACAAATTAAACCATTTTTATTTTTGAATTGTTTTGCATAAAACCCTTCTAAAATGCATTGAATATTTTTTTCTCTTGAAACAGTATGCACAGAATATCCTTTGCCTTTGCCTGACTCACGGTCAGCTTGAAAACATCTGTTATTACACTGGTTCATGGCACAGCGATGCCTAGATAATCGATGACTCCAGATGCCTTTTTGATCATTTTCTTCATATATACTTTTTCGTCTTTCATGACCAGCTGCTACTCTTGCTTCTGATCCAGATTTTTTTTTTTTTAATTCTCAGCTCCTAATAACCCAGGAAACTAGCCAAGGAACTTGCTATCATTTGCAATAAAAATAACTAGATCTCAAGGATCTTATAAATCAACTGAATTAATTTGGTGGTACCTATTTTGTATATTTAAATGCCTATTTTTTTCTTTCTAGTTCTTGGCCAATTTAAGGGCTAAAAATTATTTCTTGATAAACAAGGTATTACCTCATATATACTTCATATCAACATTTTGTGTATGAGTACATGTAAATGCATGCATAACACATTATTCAATGGGGGGGGTTATCCATAATCAAAACTTTATTGAAAAACACTAAAATAGGAGATCATTGTTGTATACCTTACAAAATCAAATATAATTACATTATTTTGGTAGAGTAACTAGAATTACTGAACTCATAAGGCTTCTGTGAGAAAACACAAATTCTGGAAGTTGCACAGATTATTAGTGTTGCTTTCTTCTAAATTAACAACCTTCTGTGAGTCTGGCTTTCCTTCTGTAGGCTGGCCCAACACTGTTGAACAACTTACACAAAGAACCACTGTCTCAGTATGGCTGAAAACCCTGGTAATCTTGTAGCAACCTGGACATTTCACATCCATAAAATAAGAATTTGGACTTTGAACTAGCTGTTTCTTTTTGTGTTTTTTTCTTTTCCTCTTCTAAGGAAGGGATGTAGCAAATCTCTAGCCGAAGGCATAGTGATCCTTTCCCAAGTACAGTCCGTCCAGATCACTCAGGTGACAGATTCTTCTTTCAAAATTTTACATCTGCACATCCTCCTTGGGAATACTTTGAGGATAGGACTCTATTTCTTTATATAGTACCTGGGACATAGTGAGAGCTCAAAAATATTTGTTTGGTAAACAAATGAATTAATGTATGTTATAGTATAGACTCCTGATACAACCAGATTTTTTTTTTTTTTTTAGGTCTAGATGGACACAACACAATGCCTTTATTTTTATGTGGTGCTGAGGATCGAACCCAGGTCCTGCCTGTGCTAGGGGAGCGCTCTACCACTGAGCCACAATCCCAGCCCCATGACCAGATTTTTTTTTTATATAAATTTTGTTTTATTTTTTATTTTTATTTATTTATTTATTTATTTAAAAGAGAGAGTGAGAGAGGGGAAAGAGAGAGAGAATTTTTAATATTTATTTTTTAGTTCTCGGCGGATACAACATCTTTGTTGGTATGTGGTGCTACTGCTTGAGCCACATCCCCAGCCCCCATGACCAGATTTTTAAAAAAGTTTATTTGGTCCTTTGCATTTAACCATGGAGCCAGGGAGTATTTGAGAAGAGGCAGAGTAGGGGTTGGTGGTACAACTTCTATGCTCTAAGTGTAGGACCTTTTTCTTTTCCTCTTATATTCCCAGGCTAGATCAATGCCAGGTAAAAAAAATCAATTTATTTATTTAGCACCTACCATATGCCAGACATATTCTAAAGAGTAATGTGTATAGTAATTCTGAGTTTAGAACTATTATATTATTACCTTTATACTGATGGGAGAACTAAGGAATCTTGGTGTTCCCCAGTTCCAAATCCCAACAGCAATCCATACTGCAGGTATGCATATCCCTAAACCCAAGGGATGGCCCTTTCTAGAGCAATGTGATGGAGAGTAGACTTGTAGGCTAGAGTACACAGACATTGTACAAGGACTTCTGGAGACAGGGATGGGAATGACACAGGGGGAAGGAAGTTAAAAGTCTGGTCCTCCTAGTCTGTCAAATAGGAAGGTGGTGTGGGCTCCCAATGTGGACCAAAAAAAAAAAAAAAAAAAAAACCAAGCCGGGCACAGAAGGATGAGGCAGGAGGATCATAAGTTCAAAGCCAGCCTAAGCAACTTAATGAGACCCTGTCCCAAAAGTCTGGGGATGTTGCTCAGTGGTTAAGTACTCCTAGGTTCAATACTTGGTTTTAAAAAAAAAAAAGCTCTCAGGCAAAGACTGTGTGAGCTAGGTTGTAAGTCACAGTGGCATGCTATAAAGTGGTAGGAACCAGGCGATTAAGGACTTTCATTAGGACAGGTGGGTTGGAGATGGTGATGAAGATGCAGAGCCTGGACTTCTAGAATAGTGATTTTCAAATTAAGGACAGATGCCGATCTGTAAGAAATTTTTCCTTAGTATATGAAAAAAAAAAAAGAAACATGTACAATGTAGTGAATCTTATATAAAACTCCAAGTATTCAATTTAAAGGAGTATTCAATATTTGGTTACTGTTATTTATATTTTTGTTTTACCCTTTCATGAAATTAAAGAGATAGTAGATAATAAATCTTTATTTTGGAGTAGATATATTTCTTTTAAAAATCCTTATTTTGCCCAAACAAAGCTTGGTATCATAAGATCTGGTTCCAATTACTATTCCATACAATCCACAGTCTAGAAACACCTGCTTTAGGATATAGAGGAATTCAGGCTGGATATTGGTTGGCCTGATTATCCAAATGTAGCCAGTGCCTAGTGTCACTATGTGAAGTGGAGGTAGCAAGTGTCTTTTCTCAGCATGGCCACCTCTTTGGTTAATAACACACAACACTCTTCTCCTAGAGCATGGTCTCTGGATTGAGACTCCCTTGTTTTGAATCACATCTCTGCCTGTTATTGTATGTATGCCTTTAAACTCTGGTTACCTAATTATTGAGCCTCTCAGAACCTCAGTTTTCACCTTAGCAAAATGAGAATAATGATCCAGGCAATGGGTGGAGTATAAAGCACATATTAATATGCCTAAGATATAATAATAGCTACCACTTACTGCATGTCTACATTCAAACATAGCTTCCCCAGCAAAAGCAGCACTGTAGGCCCCAGGAGGGGATGTGTGCATGAGAGATTGTCCCATGGAGCCTGTGTCCTGAGCCATGGGGAAATAGTTCTATATTTAACTCTGGTGTTAAGCACTGAAGAGGTATCTATTCTTTTGTATATTCCTTTGTGTTTAGCTTCTTTCATTTATCACAATATTTTCTTCCCAAACATTTTATGATAAAAGAGTTCAAAAATAAAAGAAGGAAAACCAGAGTGCCTGCACATTGACTTGATGTTGAGAACAGGCTCCCCTGCTATGGAAGAGCAGAATGGAAATAGGTCATCACAGAGCAGCAGTATGACACAGAGAGGCCACATCTGCACCTAAGCTTCCCCTCCATCTGTGTCAGCATCTCCCTCCAAGTCTGTAACTCTGCTGACCCAGCTGGTGGCCGTCAGGTGCTGATGATTTTTCTCTCTTCTGACCTTGACTACCTTTCTCTGTTTGACCCTGTAATCAACATATTCCTTTAGTACTTCAAAAATGACAACAAGAGACAGAACTCTAACAGCACGTGGCAGAGATTGGATGGATGCAAAAACTACAGAAATACTACCAAGGGATGTATGAGCACTGAAACAAAAGGTAACTAAATTAGGGTTATTAAAAAGAGGAGAGTCAAAGGCAAATCAATACTTAAAAGGCAAAGGAATTTATGAAAAAAGACAAAGGAATTGAAGTCTACAAAGAGACAGAGAATTAATGATCAGAGAGGTAGGAGGTAAATCTGGAGTGAATGGAGTTGTAGAAGCAAAGCAAGAAAGGGTTTTTTTTTTTTTTTTTAAGAGGAACAAAGAGTAGGATCAAGATAAATGATACCTTCCGGACTAGAAAACCTCATCCATCTTCCCCACTCCCCATCAGGAGCTCTGGCAGCCAGGCCTTTCCTATGCAAACAGGAGATGGGAAGAATCCAGTCTGTTAATCTGAACAACTCAAAAGGAAAAACAAAAACACTGATATTGAGCACAGCTTAGTTGGATCATCCACTTCGATATTCAGAATTGATTAGATACACTTAGGATCTCAGGGCTTCCTGAGAAGAAGAGCTTCCTGCTTTTGTTTGCCCATTTTTTTCTTCAAATCATTCCAAAATCGACTTAATCAATGTATAATTTACATAAACAAATACACTCACTTTAAGTACACAATTTGGTGGCTTTTGACAAATGTATATTTCCATCATACAAAGTACAGAATAGTTCTATTATTCCCAAAAGTTTCCTCATGCCCTTAGGCAATCAACACTTCTTGCCCACAAGTAAACACTGAAGATCTTTCTGTCACTATAGATTTGTTTTGTTTACTCTAGAATTTTGTATAAATAAACCATATGGTAAAATGTTTTTGTATCTGGATTCTTTGACTCAGCACATTGTTTTCTTCTCTAACATTTTAGTATAAATACATTCAATCGTAAAGCAAAGGAGACAGAATTTTATAATGTGCACCCATATACTCACCACTAGACTCTAGCAGTAAATTTTATTACACTTGCTTTAACACATCCATTCACACATCTTCTAGTTTATGCATTTTGTTTTTCCATGTTTTGCAGAGCCAGGGATCAAACTCAGGGCCTCACACATGCTAGGCGAGGACTCTACCACCGAGCTGCACCCCAGCCCCACTTTGATGCATTTTAGTTTATTCTAAATGCTTCATCATGCATGTAAGACACAATTATCCTTGTTGTTGCATGAATCAGTTATTTGTTCCCATTTACTGTATTCTATTGTGTGGCTAAAGCACACATGGCTTATCGGTTTATCTACTGATGGATAATTAAATTACTCCCAGATTTTTGTTATCACTAGAAAAACCGTCATGAACATTTGTGTTCAACTCTTTGCATGGATATACACTTAAAAAAAATCTTGAATAAGTACTTTGGAGTGCTTTTGAGGGGTCATATGGAAAGCACAATTTATAAACAGCCAAACTGTTTTCCAAGTTGTATCAGTTGACTTTGCTACCAGCTGTGTGTTGGAGTTGCAACTGTTTCACATTCTCACCGATACTTTGTATTGTCAGAACTTTTGATTTTAGTCATTCTGGTAATCTTTTAATTTACATTTCCTTGATAATGAATGCTATTGAGCACATTTTCACGTTCTTATTGGCTATTTGTGCATCCTTTTTTGTGAAATGTCTGTTCAAATATTTAGCCCATTTGAAAAAAATGTGCTTTTTTTAAAACAAGTGATCTTTTCTAGAGGAGGTTTAGAAGTTTTAATGAAGAACAATTTTTAAATGTTTTTTTTTTTTATGGTTAATGCTTTGTGTGTGTATGTTCTAAGAAATCTTTGCCTAAGCTTGCAAAGAACTTCTTCTATGCATTCAGGAGCCCTTTAAGATGTTTCTATTTTGCATCTTGGGTGATGGTTACCTGCATATTTGACTTGTGGCTCTTCATTAAAGTGAATGTTCACATTTCATGCACCTTTCTGAATCTTTTTTACATTTCACAGTTTTAGAAAAGATTCAACTTTTTTCTAATGTAGCTATCTATAATTCTTAACTCTGAGATTGGGGAAAAAATAGAAGAGTTGGGAGATAGAGGAAGAAGAATTGGGAAATAGAGGAAGTATCACAGAAAGTAGAGTAAAAAGTCAAAGCAGGGCTGGCTCAGCAGTAGAGCGTTCACCTAGCATGTGCGAGGCGCTGGGTTCAAGCCTCAGCACCACATAAAATAATAATAATAAATACAGTAAAGTTTAAAAAAAAAGTCAAAGCAATGAAAAATAGGAGAAAAATATACAGAGCAGGTTCAGAAAGCACAATACCCAAAGAACAGAGAAAGAAGAAAAAATGAAAATGAAACCAACTAAACAAATATTTCCTAAACACTTAAGAGGATGTGAGTTTCCAGATGAGTGCCCAGCCAGTGAATTGAGTTATGGATTCAAGGAACATATTATAAACTTTCAGAATGCATGACCAATGACTCAGGAAGTGACTTCTCCAGGAACTTGAAATTAATAATATACTTATATGTCAATAGATTAAGACAAGATTTGAATAAATGATGAAGAGTTTAAGGGTGAATTACATAGAAAACTACCAAACAAGAGTGTTTTGTTGTTGCTGCTGTTTCTTTTTTGGTACTGGAGATTGAACCCAGGGGCACTTAACCACTGAACCACATCCCCATCCCCGCCCCCCCCCTTTTTTTGTATTTTATTTAGAGATAGAGTCTCAATGAGTTGCTTAGTTGCTTAGACTAAGCAAGTTGATGGTGCTGGCTTTGAACTTGCGATTCTCCTACCTCAGCCTCCTGGGCCACCGGGATTACAGGCATGTACCACCATGCCCAGCCAAGACAATTATTAACTCTAGGGAAAATGAGAAGTTGTGCAGGAAAGTAATCATAGTTTGGAAGGCTGTGACTGGGTTGTGACTCTTATCTGCATGACTGCAGTAAGGTTGAGCATCCTAATCCAAAAATCTGAGATCTAAAATGCCTCAAGATTCAAAACTTTTTGAGAACCAACCTGATGGTCACAAGTGGAAAATTTCACACCTGACCTCTGGTGATGGGTTGTAGTCAAAACAAAGGTACCATAAAATGTGTGTAAAATTATCTTCAAGTTATGCATATGAGATATATATGAAACAAATGAATTTTATGTTTAAAATTAAGTCTTATCCCCAAGATATTTCATTATGAATGTGTAAAAGTTCTAAAGTAGTTTTAAGATATGGTATCAAAAGCAGTTTTAGCCCTAAACATTTTGTGTTTTTTTTTAATTGTTTTTTAAAGAGAGAGAGAGAGAGAAGGAGAGAGAATTTTAATATTTATTTTTTTTTTTAGTTTTCGATGGTCACAACATCTTTGTATGTGGTGCTGAGGATCCAACCTGGGCCGCATGCACGCCAGGCCAGCGTACTACCGCTTGAGCCACATCCCCAGCCCAAGCCCTAAACATTTTGGATAAGAGATACTCAAGCTGTAGCATAATTGCTGAAGATTAATCTAATCAAAAATCAGAATGTAACTATTTTGAGAAGATGGAGAAATAAAAAGTTAATGATTGTTATGATTTAGATTTAGAAAGTCCCCCAAAGTTTCATGTGTTGAAGGTTTGTTTCCCAATGCAGCAGTGTTCAGAGGTGGGGATTTTCGGAAGTGATTATACCTTTGAGGGCTCTGACATCAATGGATTAATACAATGAGGGATTCTTAGCTGCATGGATTATTGGGAGGTGGTAGAAATCATAAGTGGTGGGGCTTACTTAGAGAAAGTAGGTCACTGGGGATGTGCCTTGGAACGGGCATATCTTGTCCCCACCCCTTTCCTTGTGATCACTCTCCCTCTGTTTCCCAGTCACCATGAAGTGAGCGCCTCTGCTCCACCAGGCACTCTCCACCATGATGCTCTGCCTCGCTATAGGCCCCTAGCAAAGAAGCCAACTCAACAGAAACTGAAACTTCAGAAACAGGGACACAATATAAATCTTTCTTCCTCTAAGTTGTTTTTTTTTTTTTTCAGGTATTTTGTCACAAAGCTGACTAACACAGGGGCAAACAGAGTGGGAACAATGAGAAAGAACTACAGTCTCCTCTTGTATACTATGAAGTAAATAGGAAATGTCTTAATCTTTTGCTTCCAAAAAATCAAGATGTAGCAATATAAGCACATTAATATGATTCTGATTATGATGTGAGACAGGGTTTCACTATGTTGCCCAGGGTGCTCACAAACTCCTAGGCTCAAATTACATTCCCACCTCAGCTTCCCAATTAGTGCAATTTCAGACCCACATCACCACACCCAGCTATAAACATATTATTTGGAAACATAAAATAATTACTTAAAAGAATGAAAAGATTGCCTCTGGGGAGATGAAGAAAAGCACTTGATTAAATTCAACACTAATTCATGATTTTTGAAAATCATTTTAAAATCAATACATAGTGATAGTACATATTTATGGAATATATGTATACAATATGTAATGACCAAATTATGGCAATTATCATGTTGATAGCCTCAAATATTTACATTTTCTTTGTGTTGGGAACATTGAAAATCATTTCTTCTGGCCAGGTGAAATGGTGCGTGCCTGTAATTCCAGCAACTTGGGATGCCAAGGCAGAAGGTCACAAGTTCAAGATCAGGCTTGACAACTTAGAGAGGCTCTCAGCAACTTAACAAGACCTCGTCTCAAATTAAAAATAAAAAGGACTGAGGATGTATTCAATGGTAAAGAGACCCTGAGTTCCATACCAGTATAAAAATGCAACAACAAAAAACAACAAACAAGCAAACAAAAACCTTTTCTTCTAGTTATTTTGATATATACAATAGTGCTGGTAGAGTGTTCATCTAGCCTGTATGAATTCCTAAATTCATTCACCACACTGCAAAGAAAAAAAAATACACACACACACACACACACACACACACACACACACACACATATATACACACACAGATGTATATAAACAAAAAAATATTAACTATAGTTTCCCTACTGTGCTGTAGAACACCAAAACTTATTCCTCTTATCTGTGTTGGTTTTTTGTATCCAAAAAGTGACCTCTATCTCCCCTTCCCATTTATAACTTTTAAAAACTTTCCCCTTCTGTTGAGGGCCACAGCCAAGTCGGGATGACACATGGCATTTTTGCCAGAAGTAGTGGTTGAGAGGTAACGTCAGCACCATTAAGATAATGACTTTTAAGTTCTCCAAGAGTTCCCTTTGAGTTCCGGTTGAGCTCTTGAGGGGATTCCTGAAGAGTTCCCATTGGTTGGGGAAGTGCCAGAGGAGGAGGGAATTTCCTGTTGGTGGTTCCTGGAGGAGCCGCGTGGCATTCGGGAGAGTTCCTGGGAGTGTGTGTGGAGTGTGCTGGTGGAGTTCAGAAATAAAGTTTGTTCCTGCTTCAGTGGCTCTTGATTTGTGCCCAGCCAGACTGCAGCATCCCTCCTTCTTCCTTTCACCCTTTCCTTCCTAAATAATCCAACTCTAAAGTCATTATGAGGGGCAGGGCAATATAAGCATTTAAGAGGAGAGACTGTCTGGTGTGGGATGTTATCAGAGCCTGAGTAGGTTGGGGGGGGGGTCTATGCAGGAGAGGGGGCAAAGGTGACATTGAGAGATTGGTTAGATATGAGAGAGTTACACAAATAAGTAAATATCTCATTGTTGGAGAAAGGAGTTATAAAAATAAAATCTAATAAACTCTGCCATTTTGAAAATGAATGGAAATAGTTTGTGGGGGCCCATGAATTTCAAGAAATATAGACATGAATAGAAATAAATATAGATGTAAATATATGCATGTGGATATAATATATATAATATATATATAATATACTTATAATATATATATTATATATATATATATAAAAAACTGATTCCAGCACTGAGGCAGGGAAAGGGCAAGTTGTACGTGGAACATTTGAGTGTGCCAGAAAACAAGGAAGTACTCAAAGAATAAGAAATGTATATATA